GTATTGTCTCCTTTTTAAAGTTTTTCAGTTTTCTTCCTTACTATCAGACTCCAGTCTGTCATTCTTCAATGCTGCTAATAAATCTATCTCTGGCAGCTTTTTTCCTGATATTAAATTTGCTGCTTTTTTATCTTCTACTATTTTGAAAAATGGATATCTTAAGCAGAATAAGAACACACAAGAAAGATTAGATCAAAATGGTGTGTGTGCCTCATCTTCCTTTCCCAAATCCTTAGAAATAAAGGAAATCAATGCTGTATGCGTGCAATACAAGAATGTATGGCATTTTTATAATGAGTTTATTTGAAGTGTATAATTCCTAGGGGAGTCAAAACTGTTTGGAGTATCTTGGTTCATACCTCCTCCCCACAATACTGGAGCTGGGATGGAGGATATTTGATATAGAGACAATCAAAACCATGTGGTTTGTGGGAAAGAGACTTGACAAAAAGCATAACATGTTCAGTGTATGGATGCTTGCTACAAGGAGGCCTTCCCCTTCGCTATCCTGGCCACTCATCAAATTTTAAAAAGCTTAGATTTTAAAATGAGAAACTGACCCTTTTCAGTTTAATTTGAGCAGAATTCACATTTTCTTCAAGTCGACATGTAAACAGCATATAAGAATGGTAAATTTTAATGTATATGTAAATTACTTAATCCCTTAATAGTTTTGAACTGGAAACTATGACTTTTTTCAGTTCTGGAAGATTCCAAGTTATCATTGCTTCAAATGTTTCCTCTCTGCCAGTCCCTCATTCTCTTCCTCTAAAACTCTTGTTAGAAGGACATTAGAATCTTCACATCTACCCTCCGTATCTCTTAGTTACCTTTTCATATTTTAATCTCTTTTGTCTCTCTGTGTGGTGTTTTAGGTGAATTCCTCAGACTGTCTTCTCATTCCCTAATTTTCTCTTTTACTATGCTAATGTATCAATTAGGTATTGTTGTCTCACAACTCCAAAATTTAGTGGTTTGAAATAAGAACAATGTATTGTTTCTCATGATTTTGTGGGTTGGCTGGGTGGTTTTTCTGCGAGCCTTGCCTGGACTCCCTCTTGCAACTACAGCTACCTGGCAGGTCAGCTCGAGTCTGGGCTTCCCTGGGCTGTGGGACAGCTAAGGACGTGATCTCTCACTGCCCAGGAGGTAACCATGGCTTCTGTATTCCCAGCAGCACGAGTGTATAAGACCCAATACCTACGTACCTTCCAAGCCTCTACTTGCATCACTGTTGCTAGTGATTCATTGGCTAAAACAAGTCATAGAGAAATAGACTCCACCTTCTGATGGCAGGAGCTACAAAAAATGTATGGCCTTTCTTCATAGTTTACCATACCTGGCTAGAATTTATTCATCATCTATATTTTATATTACAAGTCTAGTTTCTCGTTTATAATATTTGTAACTCTTTTTTCACATCCACATACTCTCTTTTTATGCCTATTTTGTTGCATGAAATCTTGTTCTTGTAATGAATATATTTTTTAAATTTCCTTCTTTGAAAGAACAAACTTATTTTAAGATCTTCATCATATTATACCACGCAACTGATTTCACAGGAGGGAAATTTATGTTCTGCTTGTTAACTTTGTTGGTTGTCTTTTTTATCACTACTTTTTTCATGAGGTTCATTTGAGGGGTGGCTTTTGCTTCAATTTGTTGTTTTGGTTCTCAACCTCTCTCCTACTTTATCCTACTTTTACTTACTCTCCCAATCCTTCAGACCTGTGGTTCAGAATTGAGTCTTAAAATCTGTTTTTGGGATCCCACGCTATTACAACCTATGGGTTTAGAATGGATTTCGGCCTGGGGCCAGAAGGCAGCTTGACTCAATTTCCAGTTACAAGTCTTCTTGCTTCCTGCGTCCTTAGCCTACATGTTCCTGTGAGCCCCAGTCAGCTGCCAGGAGGTGGAGGGTAAAAAATCAGGGCCTTTCCTTTTTCAGCTTCCTTTCATAGGGGTGAGTAGGAAAGGTCCCACTCCAGCCACTGGCTTTAAGCTATGAATCAGGCCGGGTCCCCCATCTCCTGTGGAGGATTTTTAATCTTCATTACCACCAGGAGCCATTCCTTCCCCACTTCTGTTTCCAGGCTCATCATCTGGCAGTCTTTTGACTTCAGTCCCACTTACTCATTCATATTTCTGTCAGTTTATGAGCCACGAAGATGTTTCCATGTTTTGGATTCGGCCTATGGATTTTACATTTTATCTATTATGGCTATGCATTTCAACTAGATGAAGTACATTACATATGAATGTACTATCCAACGTTTTAGCAAAGCACCTTATATCAACTCAAAGTATATGATAAGCACAGGAAAAGGTGCTCAATACTGTTAACCATTAGAGAAATATAAATTAAAACCACAATCAGGTGTTACCATATAATTATTAGGATAGCTAAAATTAGAATCTGATCATACCAAGTGTTGACAGGATGTAGAGCAAGAGGAACTCTCATACACTGTTGGTGGGAATGAAAAATTATACAAGTTTAAGAAAATAGCCTGGCAGTTTCTTAAAAAGTTAGCATACACCTACATATGATTTATCCATTCCCCTCTTAGGTATTTACCCAATTAATGCATTCATCCACATAAACACTTGCACATAAATGTTTATGACAGTTTTATTTGTAATGGCCAAAAATTCAAATTCTATCAACAGGTGGATGAGTAAATAAACTGGTATATGCATACAATGGAATGCTACTTGGCAATTAAAAGGAATGAATTATTAATACAGAATGAATCTCAAAATAATTAAGCTGAGTGAAAGAAGCCAGACAAAAAGAAAACATACCGTATGGTTCCATTTATAAACATTCGAGAAAATGCAAACTAATCTACAATGACAAAAATTAGATCAGTAATTGCCTGGGGATAGGGAGGGGAAACGGAGAAGGGTGAAGGTAGAAATCATAGTCATGAAGGAGATTTTGGAGGTGATGGATATGTTCATTATGGTGATGGTTTCACAGTACTTATATACCCAGCTTAAATTATACACTTGATATCCAGTTTATTATATACTAATTATGCCTTAGTAAAGCTTTTTAGAAATAATTGGATGCTATGTATTTCTGAGCTCGTTTAACTTGGACATACTAGTTTTACTTAAAATGAAATTGTAATATTGACAAAAATATTAACAGTGACAACTAAAATTTATTGAGCACTTTGCCAAGCCAGTTATTATGCTAAGCATTCTACTAGGTCATCTCACTTGACCCCTTCAACAAACTTATCAATAACCTCATTATCTAGATAAAGAAGGTTGGGCTTCAAAAAATCTATCCTTTACTACATATATAATTTAAAATAATTCTAAAAATATATTACCTAGCAGAGCAAGCAGCTCACTGAATTTAGTGATCTCTTCCTAACCCTGTCCAACCATGAAATTCCCTCTGTATATATATATTTTTAATATTTTTATTTATTTATTGAGAGAGAGAGAGAATAAGAGAGAGCATGAGAGGGAGGAGGGTCAGAGGGAGAAGCAGACTCCCTGCTGAGCAGGGAGCCTGATGCGGGACTCGATCCTGGGACTGAGCCGAAGGCAGTCGCTTAACCAACTGAGCCACCCAGGCGCCCCCCCTCTGTATATATTTTTAATGACTGTGAGAATTTCAGTTCTAATGTAAGACAATGGTGAGCCCCTCCCATTGCATCTAATTTGATAAAGTAAGATCTGGGAGAGGGAAATAGAGACTAGACACAAAAAAGAGTTGAAGAAGTTCAAATGGGGTTTCCCCTCCCATAAAGGGATATAAAGTTTGAAGAGAAGAGGAGGAGAAGTATGTGCAGACTTTAAGATTTCCTTCTTGTGACATCTGTAAGGGAAAGGAAGGAAGCCAAATACATGTTCTTTGGCTTGAGGTGATCATAGAAAGAGCTGCGACCTTATAAAACTGAGTATTTGGAAAGAAAGTAAGAAATACCTGCTTTATGATATGAGTGTTTTAAATACAGATGACTCACAGTTTTTTTCCAGTTCAAATATCCAAGTTCTTCTCTGTCCCTTAGTTAAGGCAATAAGGTGGTAAGACAGAGCAGATGAGAAGGCCTGACCAAGATGCAGGTGGCTGGAGCATAAGATTAAATAACTGTAGGTACAGAAAGAAAAGCACTGATAGATCTAGAACTGAATAAAGCCTTGTTATCCAGATTATCTTCCATAAAAGAAAATAAATGGTATGGATATCTGATTAAAACTAAAAGAGAGGGAAATTCTGAAAATTTTCTATAAGGAAAACAGTAAATGGGAATTGAATACAGCATACATTACTTAAGGTATGTAAAATATCAGTGGTGCTGTCCTTATAAATAAATAATGTCTCATCTAAGATGACATAAAAATGCTTGCCAATCTTAAGGCACAAGAAAGACATTTCTGGAAGGATGCAGGGCCCACTGGAGCAAAAGTTCTGGAGGCCCCTGGCTGTACCTGACATTGAGCTGGGATCCATGCTGGATGATGAAAAATCCAATAGCCCTCAGGCAAATAACCAAGGTCACTGGGGCAAGTGACTGGCACTTGGGGAAGTGGCTACTTATACAAATGCATGGGATTATTTTGCTATTTTAATTAAAATGCTTCTCTCTCTCTCTCACTCTCTTGCTCTCATAAGTACTTGGTCCTACTCACCTAAACAGAGAAAGCAAAGAACTGTGAAAGAATTGGTTACTGTATGAGTTAGGAATGGGCAGAGCTACAAACAGTAGAAAAGTCGACCAGAGGGGCTTAACAGAAGAGTTTTTTCATATCACACACACACACACACCCCAAGACTAGATATGAGCAGTCCAAGGTTTGGACATGTGATGCACAGAGACATCGTCAGGGACCCAGTCTCCTTCCATCTTCATGCTCCTCTATCCTCAGCCATCCTCACCATGCTTGTTGCCTCATTGTTGCAAGATGATTCCTGCACCCCCCACTCTTCACATCTAGGTTTCAGGAAAGAATGAGATGGGAGAGTGAAGGAGTCATACCTGTCCTAGGAGAGCACATGCACGGCAGACGTCTGCTTGCCCTTGGCCAGAAGTGTGTCACATGTCACATTATCTACCCTAGATGAGCGTCAGGAAGTCAGTATTTATAGTGATGCACTTTGTTGCCTTGAACAAAATGAGAATTTATTAGTGAGGATGAAGGGGAAAAGAAATATTTGTTGGGTAGAAATACACTACACTCATCTAAAACCTCCATCACAAATTGGATAGAATTGGCTCTACCAATGAATTCTTAACATTTACGAAAATGTCTTAAAATAGCAAAGTACAGTTCAGTCTGCTATGGGTTTTTAACTAATGTATTGTGTCACTCAGTAAATGTTATTTTTAAATTTCACATCTGCAGGGATGTATGTAATCACAACCTCATGTTTAAGTGGAAACCGTTGTATTACATATAAGCTGTTTCTAAACATGTATAACTAATCAAATTTTTAAGCCAAATTTCTTCATCCATGCAGAAAAAAACACTCCTCGTTGATGTTCACATAAAAGCTTTTCATGAGTGTAAGATTAATTCTGTAGTGTTTGAGGAGAGAGAAGGGGCATAATTTTAAAATTGTAAAACTATCCTAGTGGAGGCCATCAAATATAAAGGACTTTTCAACTTAAAAAACATTTTAATTTCAGAGGTACTCACCCCTTTAAGGTAGTTGTATTTTGCTCTTCCTGGTTCTGCTTCTTTTCTAAGGTGATCTTCAGTTTCCATTCTGTCTTTCTCTATTTTTGCTTGACTTTTAATTTTTTTCTCCATTTCAGAACAGAATTTTTATAAGAGTGGTAGAGAAGTTTTTCCCCCCCCAAATTGCCCAACATCATGTATCTCTATTCTAGAAAATGGTGTTCTCATTTGTCTCCGCAAAGAGGCTTTTCATAGTTTCTAGTGCAGCAAATGAAATGCAATAAGTTACGCTCCCCGTTTAAAAACATCTATGATGAAATACTATGTGAGAGTTCATTGGAGAATAACCCTTGCATAAAACGTTTGAGCATTGCTTTATTTAATGTGAATCCCAGTTTGGGAAGAAAAATGTTTTCAGAACAGTTTCCTTTTGGAAATTGTTAATACTGTTGGATCCCTTAAGTGCAGCAGAGAGGAGGGGGGGGTCAGGTAGAAACCAACATACACAGTTAAGATCCTGATACTCACATACAGTGCATATAGTTCTATAATGCCTCAATCAAAAACTAAGTGGCTCTCTGAAAAATAAAGATGGAGGGTAACAAGTGACATTTCCAAGGTAGATGTTGGTTCTTTGTCCAAACTATACTTACGTTCAATTTGAATTAACTCAAAGTAAGTAGACTGAAATACTTACTGTATTGCTTGAAGCTCATTAGCCCATACCCTAAATTTATGTCACTAATGACCAATGTGTGGTGGTGACCTCCTTTCCTTCTTTTCTTTCTCAAGCCCAGACAATGCCTATTTGACAATGAATAGACCCAGTGAGTCACCTAGATCTAATCAGAGAGAGCTGTAAACTTGGCCAGAATTTGTTGTCACTATAAAATGTCATATCCTGCCTGTGAGGGTATAAGTTGGCTCAACTTTTTGGAAGATCATTTGATAATGCATCAAGAGTCTTTTAAAAACACAGCAATTCTACTTTGTACTCATATCTGATGATCTCCTTTGAATAAAATAGATTTATATACAGATGTTTATCATAGCATGTTTATAAAGGAAAAAATAAAAATAACTTCCAATTATTAGGTTATTAGGATAGAGCACACATGAAAAATGGCTGTGAAGATATAGTATTAGAAATGCAGATCAACTAAGATGGAACATATTGTCCTTTAAGAGTGATTGTCAAGAGTTTCTTGGAACCAGCCTGAGACCCATACATCAACCCCAAGTATCTGTCTATCTTCCTTTCTTTGACTAATTGGTGTTTCTACTTAAGTGTGTCATCATCCACCTTACATTAGAAGTGCCAAAAATGGGACTCCCAACCTAGCTCCCACTAGCCTCATTTTTATTAGTGGCATCATCCTTCTCTCACACTTGAAATCTTTGAGCAATCTTTGACTTCTCCTTTCTTGCCTATCAAGTTACCAAATTATAAACTTTCCTGAACCTGTTCTCTGTCCTTTCTTTTGCATTCCTATGGCTCCCACCCTAGCTTACTTTTCATTACTTCTTTTATGCAACAAATATTCAGCACGTACCCTGCACAAGACATTCCACTGCGGCGATGATACTAGGACAGATGATGTTCCTACCCACATGGATTTTATAGTCTAGCAGGATGGACAGACAGTCAATGACAAATTATGCAATTAATCACCAAACTACAGTTGTGATAATGCTTCACAGAAGAAGGACTGAAAATTGTAAGAGCAAGTAACTGGAGAGACATATCTAGTCTGGAGAGCTCAGGTTGAAAATTGCTTGAGGAAGTGCCATTTGTTTTGAGCTCTGAAGTGGGAGCATTAACTAAGTGAAGCAAGGAGAGAGCACTCTAGGCATTAGGAATGATGTGTTCAAGAAAACTGAGGAGGAAGGGACTTGGGGCATTCAGAATACTGGTGCAAAGCCAAGTTGGATGGAGGACAAAGAAAAGAGGAAATGGTCTGCCCCGAGGCTGCCAAGGTAGGGTGGCCAGATTATGCAGCGCATTATAGGCAATGTACTAGATTGTAGAACTCAAACAGCCTAAAAATAGCCTCTCTGACTCCAGGGTATACAGCCTCTTCAATTATTATTGCCCACTATAACTAGATACATCTTTCTAAAAGATCTGTTGAACCGTATCAGTCTCCTAACACAAAGAAAACTGAAAAAAAAAAAAAGATCATCACTAAGTAGCTCACCACTGCCTATGAACTCAAGGAGACTCCTCGGGCTTTGGTGTAGGCTGAATTGTGTCCCCCTCAAAATTCATATGCTGAAGTCTCTACCCTTAGTATCTTAGAATGTGATCTTATTTGGAAATAGGGGAAATGGGGTAATGGAAGATGTAATAGCTAAGGTCATTCTGGAGTAGGGTGGGCTCCTAATCCAATAGGACTGGTATCCTTACAAAAGGGAAAATTTGGACCCAGGCATATGCACGCAGAGAGAGTGCCATGTAATTGGAGTTATGTTGCCACAAGTCAAGGAACTACCAGCAGCTATGAGACGCCCTGGAACAAATCCTTTGCTAGCACTTCCAGAGGGAGTATGTCAGACTTCTGAACTCCATGTGAGACAATCAGTTTCTGTTGTTTAAGTCATTCAGTTTGTGATACTTTGTTACAGCAGTCCTAGCACACTAACGCCAACTTTTCACTTTAAATTTTTCATTTGAGATCAGTTGAACTGTTGTCCCCAGACATACAAGAGGACTACCACCCTTCTTGTTTTCCTTATTTCCTGACTAAAATGATCTCCCTTCTCTCTGCTTATCTGTATCAGTTCTTCCTTTTAAAACCCACCCATGGGAACCCCCTTCTCTTCTGAAGCCTTACATAATTATTTTTCAATGTCATATTCATGCAACTTTTGTAAGCTACCTTGAATAATTTAGGGGATATGATGAAGTAAAATAAGTGGATAAAAAGATGGTGTGGTGCCTAATTGCAATACCGTTCATTGTCTGTCATATGATACTCTGTAGTGCCATTTTATTATGAATTTGTCTCATCTCTCCAACTAGATTATGTGCTTCATGACCTTTCTCGATGTTTTTGAATCCCCCAAAATAGTTCACCAAACCCTACTTTATTGCCTAAAATAAGCATCCCTGACTGACCTCTTATAAAGGGTGGCTAACTAGTTAGCCACCATGATGCTAACTGACTCTGAGTCAGGGGTTCCAATCCTCACTCTCAGTATCCACCTTCAACATCCTCTGGGACCATCACAGCACCTCTTTTCCAAGGGTCTTAGGGCTTTGGAGAACTAAAATACCTATCAAAACGGATAAGAAAATTTAGGCCTGAGATGTACATATATTAAAGTGTATTCAATTTAGAAACCATAATATAAGAAAGAATACAACAAACAATGGATATGTGCTTTTCCTATTCTAAGGCTAGTTCTATTAAATATGAATGAAGAGCATGGAGCCAATAACATAAAATTGCTTTTAATCATGACTGGAAATTTTTGCTGTGATTCAGACATGGGTTTAGTTTACTTTTTGCTGCTTTTTCAAGGCATATGAAGTTCAAAATCTTGTGTTCCTATTTATTTGTTAAAGCACATCAGAAATAGGAGGTGGTTAATACTTCATGGTAATATTACCTTAACTGCTAGCTTATTTTAAGGAATTACACTGAACCACCTAGAGACATATGTTAGTGTGTAAGAAGAATATGGTTAACCTGATAATTAAAAGAACATTATTTCCCCTTCAGTTAAGAGAAAAAGTCAAATGATGCTAATGGTAATAGTTAAATACAATATCCATAGCAAATGATTGTTTTCATTTGCTCTATTTTGGTGGTAAGGAACCTTTTGGAGTATGTTTGTAACTAAAGCACTAACCTGACTCTAATTCCAAAATAGGCAAAATTGTAACAATTTTAATGACTATTAGGTAGGTTGTGCCCACAATATATTGTCTCACAAGCCACCTCTATATAACATACATCCATTTTAAACATTGAGTTTAGAAAGACAAATACTATCTTCCTTCTATGTGGAATCTAAAAAAACAAAACAAAACAAAACAAAACAAAACATAAAAAACAGAGATCAGATTTGTGGTTGCCAGAGATGGGGGTGGCAGGTGGGGGAATTAGGTGAAGGTGGTCAAAAGGTACAAGTTTCCAGTTATAAGGTAAATGAGTTCTGGGGATGTAATGTACATCGTGATGACTATAGTGAAAATATTGTATTGTATATTTGAAAATTGCAAAAAGAGTCGATCTCATCACAAGGGAAAAGAAACGTAACTATATGAGGCGATGGTTGTTAACTAATCTTATTGTGGTGATCATTTTGCATGTATACATATATCAAATCATTATGTTGTACACTTTAAACTTACACAATGTTATTTGTCACTTATATCACAATAAAACTGGAAGAAACAGTTTAAACATTATTTTAAGGACTTTCCTCTTTGCTATTTATTTTCACCACTTAAATTTTTGCACGTTTTAACCTGTGATGCTGCTATTTTGTTCTGCTTAAAATATATCTGAAATATAGAGAATATGTATTGGTTGGCAGCCTGTAAGATGGCCGCCAGTGATCCCCACCTCCTGATATTCATACCCTGTATATCACCTCCCTTTGAATGTGCACTGGACTTGGTGACTCACTTCTAACAAACACAGTATAACAAAAGTTATACCCCTTTTGATATTAGATTATAAAAAGACTGTGGCTCCTGTCTTGGGTATTCTTGCTCACTCTCTCATTCTCTCTTGAGTCTTGTTCTCTCTTGAATCACCTTGGGGATGCCAACTGCCATAATGTGAGACTGTCCTGTGAAAAGGTACATGGGAGTGACCTTGGAACTGGATCTTCAGAGGCCTACCAAGAGCCACATGAATGAGCTTCGAAGTGGATACTCCTTCAGATGAGACTACTGCCCTGGCTGACAACTGGATTGCAACCTTAGGAGTGAACTTGAGCCAGAACCATTCAGCTAAGCTACTTCCCGATTCCTGATCCACAGAAACTGCTTGAAGTGGTAAATGTTTGCTATTTCCAGCCACTGGGTTTGGGGTTATTTGTTACATAGCAATAATAACTAATACAGCATAACATTGTACACTATGTAGTAATCAGTTTTCTTTCTGTCTTGAAATTTGCCCAGTCAAGTTTTGGGTATTGGGAATGGGGCTGCTGACTATATTAAATTTGGTCTTCTGTGGATAAATACATCATTATGTAGTCTAATTTTCAGTGATTTCCATAATTAACCTTAGTAGATTACAATGCCCT